AAAAGATCATTATCTATTTAACTAATACAATTTTTGTGATAAAATCTGAACGTGAATTTCGGCCTGACAGAAGCGTGACTTGAAGAATTATCCGTGAACTAACGCCCTCTTTGCTACAAAATTAGTGGCCGAAACGCATGGATTTCCACGAATATGCGAATATCGTGTGTCTCAAAGTTTCTCCTTTTTCCTCGTTCCTAGACTTCCCGCAGAATCATATCACACCTATTTCGTGCTTAGAGAAGAATTACGAATTACGAACGATGTGAGAAAAAAATTGTAGGGCTTGAAATAATTTCCATGTTTCATTCGCGAATTTTTAGAGAACTGTCACTCGCGCTCGTTGGCAGCCGTGCCCGCGACGAGCGCCAACTTCACAACGTATACTTTCAATCGATGGACGGGGACGGTTCGGGAAATTGCGCTACCGATATCGTTCGTAAGTCGCTTAAAACTCTGACTCCACGAGTAAAATCTGCCTCTGGGCGACGAGCGAAATATCTGTGTCATTCGAGCATCTTCGTCAATCCGCACGACCTCGCGTCGTTGCGACTCGCGACTCGATTTTCAAATCTCGGCTGCGCCGCGGCCGGCGGGCGGCGGGCGGCGATGACGTCACAGCGTGCGGCGGCGAGCGTCGGCGGTCGGCGCGGCGGGCTCACGCGATTGGTCGGCCGCGGCCGGCGCGACTCGGTGGGGGAAATGCTCGCGCCGCCGCGGCGGTCTCGGCACGGTCGGCAGTGTCGGCACTGAGCGCGGCCGCCATCTTGGCAGACAGAAGGAGGCTTGCTGTCGCCGTCAGCCGCCGACGTTAACGCCGTTCAGCTGAGCCGTTGAAGCTGAAGCGCGGGCTGCCCTGGCTCCGCTGCCTGGTGAACCCGGAGAAATCGCGCCGGGCTATCGGTCGCGCGTCACGCGGGCGCAGGAACCAGGAACCGGCTGAGGAGGCGGAGGCGGCGGACGAGGAGAGGCGGAGGAGGAGGCGGGGGAGCAGGAGGAGGAGGAGGACGAGAACGAGGAGAGGTGTCGGAGGACCGGAAAAGCAGCGCGGCGGGCCAAGTATAATATCGGGGTGAGCGGGACGTCACGGACGCCTCGCGCGGTAGCGCCCGGTCTCGGCTGTTCGTGTCGTGTCCGTGTCGTGTCCGTGTCGTGTCGTGGCCGTGGTCGCGATCGTGATCGTGATCGTGCCGTGGGCCGTGGTGCCGTGCGCGGTGAAGTTAGCCGGAGTGCCCGTACCCCGTAGTATCTCGTTCCCGTCCGTCCGTCCGCGTCGCGTCAAGGACGGCCAACTTCACTCGCCTCTCGCGACCGTCGTCCTCGTTTTCGTCCTCGTCACGGTCGTCGCGACTCCTTTTCTCGTCTCTTCTACCGGTGCGCGGGGGTGGAGAAGCTCGAACGTGCCGGGGAGGATCCACGCGGATTTCGTCGTGAACGTCGCCAACTGACTGCTCTGCTAACCACCGTGACAGCGGGACAGTATGGCGGGACAGACGATCAACGACAGGCTGCTGGCCGCGAGGCACAGCATCGCCGGCCAGGGCCTCGCCAAGTCCGTCTGCAAGGCCACCACGGAGGAGATGATCGGGCCCAAGAAGAAGCATCTCGACTGTAAGTAAAGAGAGTGAAAGTTTTTCCCCCCTCGACGATATACACATATATCGTCGAGCGTCATTCATTCGTGGATTTCAAACGGCGCTTGCTCCGTTTTGCGAGCTCCGTTTCAACACAACGTTTCTTTCTTAAAGTTTACGTTTTCAGTTTTGAGGAAACGCTAAGAAGGAAAAAGAGGAATTTGTGTCTGGCCGGCGGTAGGATCCCCGAAAAGGGGAAGGTGAACGTTTCGACGCCTCGCGCAAGCGGCAGGGTGTCGCCTGCTCCGGTTTTCGACGATTTCGGCCGTTTTCTGCTGTTGATTGACGACGAGGGTACGCGCGGGACCAGCGTGCAGGGGGACAGGGGCGACTGTCGCTCACCTTTCCTATTTGCCTGCCGCTGAAAGAAGGCGAGCGAGACTCTCTCGCCCCCCACTGGTCTCGCGCGAGATTCCCAGCGTTTAAGCGATTCTCGGGACAGGCAATAACCAGGCATGGTCGAACGAGATCGTTGGCTTTAGTTCTCCTTTCCACATTGACATCGTACGTCGACGTGGCAATTAAAGCAATCGAAATCGATCGCGCCGCTTCCTGAAGGCGCACACTCGCGCTCGTAGGCTTTCCCCTCCGCGGCGCACTTTTCGCCGTAATCTCGTATTCGGCTTTCTGCCGAAGACGCGAACGCGTGGCTAGAAACGTTTACCTGGACAATGGAGAGCTTCTGGAGGGTATAACAATCGCGCGGTGTCCCCGAGAGGGAAATTGAATCCGGAGGTCTGTCCTTTCCAGCCGTGTCTTTCACGCTCGCTGCGCTTAAGGACGAAGCGCATTACATTCAGACGTTCGATAAAGGGGAGGGAAGAAAAGGGAATATCGCGTAGGAAGGTTAGAGAGTGGTGTGGAAAAGGGACAGGCCTCTCTCGCTCCACGCATGTTCGACTTTCTGGAGGCCTTGCTCCGCTCCGACCCGTGCGATCATTAACGTGCTATTTTCGATACTCGGAAGGATGATCCGAGATATTAATTGCGCGTCGCGCAAAAACGCTAATTTTATATAACTATATATTAATATTGTCAAATTATATTCAATTTCTATAGGTCGCCATTGTGCTCCTAATCAGTATTTCGTTAATTTAATTAAACCATCAATGAAATTGAAATAATAAGTTTCGACACAAATGCCATGACAGTTAACAAATAACAAAATGTTATTTAACTCGAGGCATTATACTGGTTCAAATTTCATTTTTTAATATTTAATGTTACACGCTCGCGCGAATGCACATTCTCTCTTCTTTGCGAAGCTTTCCTATTTTTTCTTACTTTAATAAACGGAAGGAAATGTAGATTGTTTTTTTTTCTTTAGAAAGAGAGATGACGGAAAAATGTAGAAAAATGTTTGAAAAGCGTAAGAAACGCGGAGAAGAACAGAGTCGCCGCGATTTATTTACTAGCCGTTCCGTTCTGGTTCAT